AAACTTGAAATAATATATTAAAAGATAAAAACTATGGACAAGTATAAGAAATATTTAAAAATTATATCAAAGTAAATATTTTTATGTATAAAATAAAATTTTAAAATTATATATATAAATTCGGGTTGGTTTGGTCTCGGGTTGGTTTTTTTTAGTTAAAACCAAACCAACCCAAATATAGTCGGGTTTTTTTTTTTCAAAACCAAACCAAGTCAAACCAAACCACTAGTCGGGTTTTTCTTTCGGGTTGACTCGGTTTGCGGTTTGGTTCGGTTCTCGGTTCGGTTTTGTACACCCCTAACACAATGTATTATTGTACATTTTATGCATTTACATATTACATTAAAATAAAACATATTTCAAAACTCCTCTTTGATCAACTTCATTTATGATTTTTTTAAGAACAGTGTCCTGTTATAAAGAAAAAAGTATAAAATCATTCTTATAATCTAATGCTAAAAAAATCAGTGAATAAGAGGTAAAGATTTTATTTAGTTTTTAAGTTTTATTATATACCAATTTATGGATCTCAAATTATTGCAATGGCCTTATTCTTTGACATAAACTTACTGAATTTTAGTTATACAATGTTCCTTGGTAACTAACTAATTTGTGGGGTTGTAGTTTGTTAGTTGCTATTGTTTAGGAGTCAAATAATTTATTTCCTAGTCTTTAGGCTACATTATTAGTGGTGTCAGTTTAGATCAGAGTAATTAGGAGTAAATAGTTTTTGTCTATTTAAGGTTTCTTTTTGTCATGCATATTCTTATTAGCTCAAAGTTTACTGTTCATTACTTAAACATGATTATTAGATTCATGTTTTAATTTTTGACTTGCTTCTATTTGGTACCTATACACATATTGCCATACATTCTTGAGTTTCTTTGATGAAATTGGTTTCATAAGAATGAATTATGGCCCTGCCTTGCTAAATACAGATGAAAAAAAATCATTGATGACATTACTAAATAGAGATGAATAAAAATCATCACAACTGGTGGAACCAACCGTCTCAACCCTAGCCTTAATTACCACAATGGTAGCCCTCTTTGCTCAAAAAACACAATTTGCGTATCCCCAAATTAATAAACGTCCCCCTGCTCCGTGATTAGATTATCGATGCCCAAAAAGAAATTATCATTCATATCAGGACATAGAATATTCATTTCATTGACAAATGCAACATTATGGCCTGAGAAATCTATTCCAGCAACTGACAGAGATCTTCCAGCACCATTAGCGTCCTCCTGCATAATAATTAGAGCGTCAATGAAAAATATGAATTCACCATTCACATCCGGATACATACTTTCTTGTTATCACACAATGCCTAGATGTAGTTATTTCGCTAGATAATTTGGAACTTGGGAAGTTCGAGAAGCTTCAGCATTTGCACTAGTTATATTCATAGCTATCTGCTTTGCTGTTCTTGTTATCACACAACGCCTAGATGCACTTATTTTGCTAGATAATTTGGAACTTGGGAAGATCCAGCACCTTCAGCATCTACACTAGTTATATTAATAGCCATCT